TTTAATTGAAGGGTCCGCACCTGTTACGTAAATTATGGTCACGAAGACTAACACCAAAGTAGATAAGAATTTAAAGTTCATCTTTTAGGAATTTAAATTTTTTTTTGGAAATTTTTAGAAATAGGCCTGCACTATGATAAAATTAGCCCATAAATATTTTTCACTTAATGAATGACGGTAATATCATTAGTAAATATTGAGTAATTTCAGCCTAGCTTTTTGGTCGTCGTGCAACGGCTAGGGATTTTTAGTTTACAGTTATTTTCATTATTTCTGGGATAAAGAACTAATAAGTTTCAGGTGTCGGATGTCGACCGATGCCGGCAACTTATCAATTTTGAGTCGGTAAATTTATTTATTCGGGTATCGATAATTTTTTAGTTGCTCTTGGAATAATGAAATTATAGTTACTGACGTCGAAATATTTACTAAAAAAAATTTATAAAAAATTCATATGTTTTTTATATATAAAAGCCGGTTGCCGGATCACTTTTAAAAATTTTATCGATTTATAAATTTTGTATGACTCATCTTTCAATTTTTTAGGCACAACATTCTTTAAGAAATGATTTTATAAGGAAAATATACCAAAAATATGGTCTTAAAGCAATTAAACCAATAGAGAGCTCAATGGAGGTTCAACTATACACCGTTTTTAAATCCGTAAAACATTCATTGTTTAACGTCGTAAATATTAAGGTAATCAAACGGCAAATGCAAATTTGGCAAATTTTATTAACATGAAGCTGATTACGTCTAAATTGAAATATTATATTCAACCCAAAAGTTGATCCAACTAAATTAATTCGAGATCACTAATTTGAGATTATTACATTCGATATTATTATTTTCGGGATTATTACATTCGGTTTATTATTTTCGGGATTATTACATTCGGTTTATTATTTTCGGGATTATTACATTCGGGATTATTATATTCGAAATACTTTTTCTTTTCAAGATTGTGTTTCTTCTGGATTATGATCATTCGGGATATCTTTTTTCGAGATTTAATTTTCGAATTAACGAACTGTCGAAACATTGCTTTTTCGAGATTTTGAGCTTCGGGATATAGTACCATAAAGATTTTGTTCTTCGGGATTTCGTACCAAACATGTTCTCAAGCACCAACCTCAATGAATTCAATAAAAAATCTGATTGGTTAGTTTTATCAAATAGACCAATCAGATTCGTTATTGAATCCATTGAGGTAGGTGCTTGAGAAAGCCCTGAGAAAGCCCTAAGGGCGTTCTCTGCCTACCTCAATGGTCTATTTTATCAAGCTAACCAATCAGATTTTTTTATTGAATTCATTGAGGTAGGTGCTTG